CATTTCTATGACACAAATGATCATTTTTATGGCACAATTGACTATTTCTGCGACACAAGTGATCATTTCCATGGTACAAATAACCGTTTTTATGGGACCAATGACCATTTTTATGGCACAATTGACTTGTTCTGAGACACAAATCATCATTTATATGGCACAAATTACCAATTTCATGGTATAAACGGTCAGTTCTACGGCACAAAATGACCGCTGTTATGGCACTAATGACCGTTGTTATGGTACAAATGACCAGTTTCATGGCATACATTGTTGGTAGATTCACTTAAGAGCCACGAGGACTAATCACTTCCAAAGACAATACAGCTGTAGGGGGGCAGTCGGAGTTCTTTTAAGGAACTTTGATGCCTCCATCGCTAAATTTTTGAACGGTGTGATCCAGTTGCTAGGTGAAACTTAACCTCTTTCCCCTCTCAAATATATTTAAGCCTCCTAACGCGAACTGCTAACAGTGTATTCCATTAGTCAGGAGGCTGAGAGTCCCCTCTCTTTCAGAAGCAAAATCGTGGCTCAGTCACTGTTTCGCACCTGTATTTCACGCTTATTTTGGCTGCGTTTTTCTGTTCATTATTCTTGGAAGTTTTTCCTTTTCTTCTGATCGATACCCCACTTTCACCTCTTCGCCCTCTGTCTTCCATGTTTCGGTTGAACTTATCCAGCCATCTTTTTGGAAATTTCAGGATATGTGGCGCAAACCGCCGACGAAGTGGGCTGTTCATATATTTGCATGTGTGTGTTCTGTCAGTCTAGGGCCCAGTGAATCGATTTTCGATTCATGTTACTTGCGCTATATGTTGAAAGAATTCATCAATTTCAGTAACGTCGTCTGGGCTAATCAGATGTTTGTGAAGTTTGAACTTTGTAATGTCTGGTGCTTGCGCTATGTGGCTCTAGTCAAAAGAGGTTATTTATAGGAAAGGATACCGTCAATCAGATTCGTTTGTATTGGTTTACGAGCAGTCATCCTATTCCGCAATGTTGAACATTCCGGAACTCGTTCCGCCGTCGGAATCAATTCCCTCAATTCCGGAATCAGCTACAACCGGAGTCCCTTCGATTCCGGAATCCATTCGAACGATTACTGGAATTCCCACCAATTCCGTGTAATTCCCTGCAATTCCCGTCCCACCTAATTCCCGGAATTCCGTTCGAGAATCGCATTCAACCCAGAGGGGTAAGAAACAAGAATATCACAGTGATCAGTCAATTCCGAAATCGGTCGGAATTCCGTGCAATGGGTGTGTGTGGGTGAGTGTGGGTGTGAGTGTGAGTGTGAGTGTGGGTGTGAGTGTGAGTGTGAGTGTGGGTGTGAGTGTGGATGTCAGTGTGAGTGTGGGTGTGGGTGCGGGTATAGTTGCGGGTGTGGACATGGCTAGCCTCGTTGTTCACTGTTCTACATCTGTGCTTGGCAAGTGAGATATAGAGGATGATAATTCCGGAATTCCGGAATTGTATTCGAGGTGATAAACGGAATTCCGGGAATTAGATGGAATTGATTCCTAGCACGGAACTGATTCCGCAATGTTCAACATTGCGGAATAGGATTTATTCTCTGGTTTAGGAATATAATTCCCGTAATTATATTGCTACCTAACACAGTATGGATTTCAGTTTCTCTCCGAACATATGGTCGCCATTGTGGTTCTGATGGTAGGAAGAAAAATCTTCAGCTATGAATTAGCACAGTGAGACATGGTGCAAGTCAAGAATAATTCCAATTTGGAAAGGTGCCGTTGATAGTAGCAGCGGCTAGCTGTTAGTGGTACCCCACACGGGGCCGACGAACTACTTGCAGCTGCCCTGGCAGCTGGCTGCCTGTCTCCTGTATATCAATCTGATTGAACAAAGACATTGTGTCGGTCAACTATGGTGGGTAATACTTTTTTTCTGGGAAGAAAATAATGTAGAATGAGATGATTGTTCTACTGAGCAACGGATATTTATTTGTATGAGTGGGTCGTTATTCACAGGTATGAGAAAATCAATAATAGAAGTTGTGTGCCACGTAATTAGGAGGCTGTCAGCATGTGCAGAAGTACAAAATACATTGCAAGACTAACGATTTGCCGAATTGCGCAGGTTCTGATGAAAAATCTATGGAGAGAAAAATGTACAGCAAAGTTTAGACGAATATATCTCTGGTAAAGTGAAAGAAAGCGTATATTTTTTTCGTACTTGAAGTTTGTGAATCATTAGAATGTTTGTTAAATGTATAATAACAGACGAATTTTCTCGAATTCGAAGTGTCGCATACCGTAATTAGCTCTCCAAGAGTTTTCCAGCGGATGAGATTAATTTTTCGGAAATATTCTGTCCTTGAAAGCATAGAAAATGTTCAATTGGCTGAAAAGATTTTCGCGAAAAAGTTTGGGAAAGTTTGACAATTGAACAACATTTCTGTATGGTAATCTCTCAAAGAAATGGAGGAGGATATGGGGAATAATTTATCTTGTACTGAGACAAGGGGAGTAATTAGGTTGCACCTCATGGTCCTCATCTGCTGTACACGCTATAATCCGGACTGGATTGTTTCACCTTAGGCTATTGTCTTATTTTTTTATTGTAGACAGCATGATCGTCAACATGTGTATACTATGAAGATGATCACAGATATCTTCAATACCATTAAACAGTGGCCAGGGCATGATGCTGGAACAGTTATAAATAGTATAGCGTGATCATGCGGAAGGGGAACGATAAGAAGTAGCGACCCGAGTAACAGCTGAAGGCGGACAGCCGCGTGTCTGTTGAACTTTGTTGTATTGCTTTACCAACGAAGTTACTAAGGTCTTCTCATGTCGTAGAAAGGCGATTGCTAACTATATCTTGTAGTTATTCTGTTTGACGCATGTTCTTTCTCTGACAGTTCTCAGCATGAAACGCAGAAAGCAACGACAGAGCATGATTATACTTTTTAGAAAAACTTGCAGAATAATAGACCCTTTAAGTGTTGTTGAAAATTTTCACATATGGTAAAAACGGTTTATTATATGCTGTACTATCATAAACCCTTAAACAGTTTATTATTCTGCACTTTTTTTACACTGTATGAAAGATACAGTCGAGGGTTAAGGAAGGCGCAGCACCGAGCGTTACTTGTAATTATTATTTTGATTAAAAATCAGATTATAGCAGTGTCGTTATAATTATTTTTTAATCAAAAAATTATCGATTAAAACCTGATTTTTTTACATGGGGACATCTATTTGTTATATCTTCATTTCTATTCTCTTTATTTTTCTCTCATATTATTATTAAACTGAGTTATCAGCGAGACAGCAACGTGACGGTATGACCACAGAACGGAACAAAAGAATAATCCCCCCTTCACATGGAATCGAACCATATATCTGCTGCTTTCTGGGCAGACGTATTAACCACTGTACTATAAAGGAGTACTCATCATTCGTTTCGTTCCGTCTAATGTTCGAAGGGGAACACTTTGGACACAACACTATCGCTTTTTTTAATTGTTTGATAATGACTTTTAAAATTAAATTGACATAAAATATTTCAGAAAATGATTATGCGATTTAAGGTATTCAATGATTGGCATATTGCCTCATGTTGAGGAGATTTTTCTGAACTATTTACATGTTTTTTGTAACTATGTGCAAAAAAGTTAGTTTCACCCGATAGTTGTAGTTTCTTACTATACAGTTCCTACTATGCTGAACGATAGAGAACTTTACGCTGTGTAATACTATGTATTTAGATTCGAAATAATTTCTCTTTTTCCATTCAAATAAGGTTGAAAAATTGAATAAAAAGATAATAGAAATTCCAATTTGAAAAAAGCAGACGACAAAACTGTTTTAATGTAATAGAATTTTTTTCTGCAAAAATATATAACGTAAGATATTTATACATAGGTTTGTAGAGAATTTTAAGCATTATCAGAATATATAATTACTTTCCCAAAAACACCGGTTTATAGTAATGAAACAATAAAAATATCAGATACTCAAATTTTCTTACAGACTAATTTTTCCGATAAAATAATTGAAAACTTTTTGTGTACCCAAATAAAAATAACCAAATTTTTATTTACCATATTCGATGCATTTTGATGTGCTCTTTCAAATAAGACTATTTTCAAGAAATTCAATCACGCGGATTTGACTAACTTTCCCTATACACTTGAATGGGCCTTTTGAAAAGAATATATGATATCAATCAAACTTTACTTTAGGATAAAGTATTTTCATTACTATCAAAAGTTTGCCCGTGGTCGATACTATCTACGGTGAAAAATCTCAGTGATATCTTTTACGGTTCACGAGAAAATGAAAATACACTGAAACAATCATCATGATCATTCGGTTGGAAACAGTCGAGGTTTCCAGGCGACAAGGAATGGGTTCTTCAATTGTTGTTTTTGGAGTCGTTATGAACACACCTCGGGTGGCTAGCCCTGAGACGGTACTGAAAAATTTTACAATAAAAAGAAAATCTCTAATTTTGATTTTGGACCAATACTTTGGAGCCGTATATCTCGAGAACGATGCATCCGTTTCAGTTGAAATGTTGAGCATCTTCCTAACTTTATTTGATCTATTTACTGTACAAATAAGAACAAAGTCGGTGCTATCAATTTGGCAAGTTCAGCAGAAAGTGGTCGTCCGAATTTTCGATTGAAGTTTCCAACTTTTCTATCCCCATGATGTTTTTATTCACTTGTGGCTAGCGGGAGGGCAGAATTTTGACTCAAACAAAAATGAAGGTAAGAGTGAGGGTGATTCACTTTCACAATCAGCTAAATTTCTGGTCGGGCTGAAAGTCCAGACCGAAATTCATGTAACCATCTCTAACTAGTACGAAACAAGTGAAAACGAAAATTATTTTTCCCTAAGGCTGTTACGGACCCATGACTTTATCAATGGGAGTTTGGGGATCCATATTTGGTTATATTCATGTATGGGTAATATTTTGCTCGTGTTCAAAGAACGAATGAAAACGCACCACATTTGATTGCCTTCTTTAATTAGTCGGCTGGCGAGACCGTAACTCTGGAGAACTTCGATTGTTCGTGGTTGTATACCATCTGCCTGTCCGGCGATGACGCTGTTCGGACGCTGATCAATCACGCGAACACTGATACCGAAACTCGACAGAGCATGAGCAGCCATCAAGCCAGCAGGTCCAGCGCCAACAATGAGCACATCAACTTTGTCTGGAAAAGAATGCATAGTCACTGGTCGTCCGTACAGTGGCTGTGCATTGAGAAAGTCGATCGGGGGTTGGTTGGGATAATTGAATGGCATCGTTCGTTGTTGATAGGTGACACTGAAAATACATGAGGTATCGCTTAAGATCCAGTCCATGGAAGCGAGATCGGAAGAGCTCAATCAATATGCTTAGACTTAACTATTTTTAGTACATATAATGTAGGCAACACTTTGAGGATGTAGGTGTGGGTGTACGTGTACGTGTGCTTGGGTATGTGGGTATGCGTGTGCGTGTGCGTTATGGATGCGGCCAAAGAGAAGATAAAAATCAGCACGCACACCCACAGCCAGGCTGACATCCACATCCATACCGACACTAGCACGAACACCACATCCTCCAGCTCTATGAGTTGCGCTTACAAACTTTTGAGTAACTATAAGAAGATGAACATGTAACTCATGAAATCTTTTTTTCATACGAGGTATGATTATTCCAAGACACAATAATCTATGCTCACCTGCACTTGTTTGATATTCTGCCAGGAATGTATGCTTAGAGAAGTGATTTATTCTTCTACTTATACCTTTTCTTTGTCAGCCAATCCAATTGCAAGATTCTTGCAATGCTTACATTTTATGTTTGCTCGTTTGTGTAAATATTCTTTTACCTCGTAGCTATTCAGTTCTTTTCAACATTATTCATGAAAAAATTGTTCTTGGCTTCGTTAAACTGACGTCAGCACATTGCAGTGAAAAATTGACGCAGAGCAGACAGAACCAGGCTTTCTACTTTGACTTACTCGCAAAAGTAAAGAAGGGTTTTATTTTTCAGAGAAATCAACTGTTCATTAATGAAGGGGCGGTTCGAACAAGAATGAAATTTACTGGAATCACTCGTAAATAATACCTAGCTATGTGAAAAAGTATGGATTGATTTCCCTTCGAACAAAAAGGGAACAAACAGAAAAAAGAAGACATGGCGGTATGAGTGTTGATGTACGCGAATAGAACATCGCACACCCGCACGCACACCATAGGCACAGCCACATCCACATCCACGTGAAACCTAGATCCACATCTACATCCACATCCACACCCACGCCAAACCTAGATCCACATCCACACTCATACCCATACCCACACCCACGCAACCGTACTGCGTCGGTGTTTTTGATGGAAGAGAAAACTAACAGGCAAAGTTGTTTTTCCCAAAAATTGATGTGATAGCTATTTTGCGAGAGGAAGAGAATGGATTCGATACTGAACTCAATAATCGAAGAATTTTTCAATTAGTGGCGATGCAGGGATTAATCGTCACCCCTCATTTCTAAAAAATACTCCAATCGCTAAATTAAATGCGAAATTCTAGAAATACTTTTGCAAATTCATTATTGATTTTCTAATTAGATAATCAAGTTTCTAATTTCTATCTTCTAGCAAATCGTAATTTCAAAAAAGTAAAAAATCATCATAAAATTCGTATAGTCATTCCTAAAATATCTTTTTCTGTTCTCTATAATTTATTTTCTGCGTTAAAGTGTATAATCGTGCTCAGCATTCGCTATTTTTCGTTCGGTATCCATAGAGATACCATTATAATGGTTCATGGCACTGTCACATAATCACACTCATTATTTGTCAGTAAACATTCTAGGTGCAGATCAACATAAATATATGTTCTGTGTCTGATAATACTACCACGACCCGATGCCTCTACCAAACATCTAAAGAGCAATAATGGAAGTCTATTTGCTATTGACTCAGTTATTTGCTCTCATTCGTTCGCTCTGTCTGCTTACCATTACTTCCGAACACGCACAAGCACACGCACACACACATACCCATACATACACACAACCGAATGGATTCGCTCGCTACTACAAATTCGGCTATCGTAAAGTTTACCAATGAACTGAGTGGCATGAGAGAAACAATTTCTGCATCACGTCCGTTAATGTTAAATTATGTTCTTGAAAATAGTCGTCCCGGTGATATTCAGAATGTCATCGATACTATGGATAAATTTGCGCAAACAGAACAGTGGGTTATGAATCTTGGTGACAAAAAGGGCGAAATTCTTGATCAGGCACTTCAATCCCGACGACCAAAAACCGTACTTGAACTTGGTAAAGATTGATTGTAATGAATAGTCCCCTAGGCTAAATCCTGATCATGCGTCGAGTAATCCTAGAAGGAATAGTGATGATCGTGAACTGCTGGGATCTGTTCCAGATTTGATCAGTATCCTGTCTCAAATCTTGGTAATTTCTGGTTTCAAGATATTATCCAGTTTTGTCAGGATTTTTTCAGAATTTCTCTGAATTCTGCTAAGGATTTTTTCTGAAACAAAATTGCAGGATCCTATCAAAATTCAGTTGCGATCTTGATCAGAATCTTGGCAGGAACAAAAAGAAAGATTCTGTCAAGGTTTTAGCGGGTTCTCGTTCACAATCTTCTGGGGAGTTTTACATTAGGAGTCTCCCAGTATTTAAAGCTGTCTTAGATGAGGATTTTGTCAAGGAAATGTTCAAGGTTCGTGTCAAGATTGTAGTGGGTGCCCATTCAAGATCCTTGCAGCAAGTATACTTTCAGATTACTTTCCTGTTAAAATATTGGTCACTACTGAAGATATCGTTGAACGGTTCGACCAGAATCCTGGCTAGTCGAATCCTGTATAGTTTCCATCATGAGCCTATTTTCAAGTCCTGCCCATTTACTTTTAGGACCGTTTTCGGTGTTGTCAACTTTTGCTGGGAATTTTTCTAGAAATGAGAAGTCCTGTCAGAATTTTGCCCTGAGCTTGATCTGGGTGATAAAAGAAATTAATAGAAAGTTCTTGCCGATATTTTACGCACATTCACATTCGGCTTCAGAATATGTTTGGGATACTAATTTCAGGATCCTGTCACGATTTTGGATCAATGTAGGTCAGGATCTTGACAGGAAGAAACGAAAAATTTATGCGGAAAGTATAGCAGTTCCTGCTCTGAATCTCTCTAGAATTTATATTTTAGAATAATCCCACCTCGCTTTGAATCTATATTGACATTGATTTTGACTACAAGCACGTATTTTCAACAAACATAAAATTGGAAAATCCTAAGTGTTTCCGCTCCTGAGCCTTGAAGGATCCTGTCAAGATCGCCTGCTATTCTGAGGAAACGGAAAAATTCTCCAAGCAACGTATAGCCAAGTAGCGTTTAGGATCCTGACAAGAGCTGAGACATGATTTTTTAGAATGGTGCAGTTTTCTACTGCATATGAATCAGGAATCGATCAAGGAAGAACATAAATTTCTGAGAGAAATGTGTCAAAGGGGAAACAACTGAAACTTCGGTTGTGAAGTCCCGAGAAGTCTTGCAAGTCTTTTGAAGTCTCATGAATTTGCATGAAGTCTCTTGAAATCTCGTGAAGTCTCAAGAAGTCTTCCAGAATATGTGGAGTACATTTAATGCATAGGAAATTCATGGCGAGCGCAGGTAAATTGTCTGGATTTTGATGATCTTATTTTAACAGACCTGCGAATTATTTGCTTTGCTAATCTGCTGAAAAAGTAAGCTAAATTATACTTAAAAAAACATCATACTTAATAATTCAGTTCTTTGTAATAGTCTTATTTTTATAAGAAATAGTGCATGAATAAAATAACAATGTTACGAAAAATACCTCAACTAAAGGTAGATTTACAGTAAAATTTCAAGCGAAATGGATGTACTCTTAAAGATATACAGCTCTCAGAATAAATCACGAAAAATGTGACTTTTTCATGAAGACGCTCTCAGAAATAATTTAATATTTCAAAAATGAAGCAATATTTTTTCAAACGGCTTGCGTATAAATACATCAAACACTTGCCCCTATCACATAAAAAGGTCAGTCATATCAGCGATTATCGATTGAGCAGGATCCGTCGTGGCTTTCCTGACCTGGTTCTTACCTAATAGCTGTTTTTTTATGCATGAGAAGAAACTTCATGCGATTTCTAAGGTTCCTCGGACGCTAATGTATTCTCGCGGTCTTCTCTAGTCTCTCGAAGTCAGATGGAGTCTCTTGACGTCTTCAGAAGTCTCCTGAAGTCTCTTGAAGTCTCATAGAGTTATTTGAAGTCTTTTAAGGTCACATGCAGTCTTTTGAAAATGCAAAGTCTCGATCGTTGAAGTCTCTTGAAGTCCGCTGTTCCCATCTGGAAATGTATAGTGTGGAAGTGTTAAGGATCCTGATAGATTTCAGACAGGATTTATCAAGATCTTGCCGGATACTTGCCAGATTTCTCGAGGAATTCGCAGGATGACGGTTTGGAATTGCAAATTGCGACTGAACATCATTCATTTTTTTATGGGAATAAGTTTACAAATAAGAAAATTTTTGTAATGATGCATACTAGTCTGGCTAGACTTCCAATGGCACAAATGTTAATAGGAATGGACAGTTCAAGTTGGGTTCCTTTAATCCAACCAATCGTTGGAACATTTGCTATTAAGCTGATTCTGAGAGCAAAGTTGTAAAGAATTAGATCCGTTACAACTCTGTTCTTAGTTTGAGCTTGAAAAACATTAAATATTTCACTTAAATCGAAACTAGATATTGCATTGCTTGCTGAAATCACAATTTCTATCATAACGCAAGTTTTCAGTCATATAGGCTCTTCAGTTTTCTTCATATGTGGCTAACAGAAGATTGACTATTTGAAAAGTCTATATTAACGAACTCAAAATCATAGGTTTTCCGGACCCATTGCAATATTGAAAAATATTTTTTTCAATTTTTTTTACTTTCTGAATATTAGGCGTTTTTCAGAAATGCGAACTAAACAAAACTTTTCAGCCTGCAATTCAGAGAATCAAACATGATGCCAGTGTTGATAACAAGGCACAATCCAGCTGGATAAACTGCTTAGCGCGTGAACTGATGGTCTAGAAATCAATACTTTGTGTCCATTCCTTTAAGTTTCTGTCATGTAAATCCTGATACGATCCTCCAAATAGTTCGATTGCATCCTGATAGGATCCAAGTCAATTACTTCCAAGAGACTTCAGGAAATACCGCGATATATGATGAAATGATCGTGAAAGTAATGAAATTTTTTCCACCAAGAATCTTGAGATTCCTGATAACATTCTGTTTAGTACGTAGCGTAAGACTGAGCAGCATCCTGATACAATCCTTTCTCAAATCTTGTAACGATTCTGGCCACTTCTCAATGACACGTTTCTAGCAGGAGTTATAGAGTTCCTGAATTGATTTCTGCTTTGCATACAGTTGAAAGCAGTTCAAGATCTTGATAGAAACCTGTGTCAAATCTTGTGCCGATCCTAGGAACTTCTCAATGACACGTTTTTCTGCTAAAAATTTTCCTGAAAAATCAGATTTTAATCGATTACAATGGCACGATTCTGATACCATACTAATCGATTAAAGAGATACTATCAGATTTTCATCGAAACAAATAGATTAAAATCTGACTTTTGAAAAGAAAGGACGAGGGCCGATATGTGCGGGGGGGGGGGGGGGGGGGGGGGGGGGGGGGGGGGGGGGGGGGGGGGGGCGGGGGCGGGGGGGGGGGGGGGGGGGGGGGGGNTAGTTTTGATATGGTTCGATAGTGCTTTCAAATGGCTACAAAATGCTATAAAAACATTCTGAAAACATATTGCTTGACATGACTTCATAAAGGCATATTCCCCCTATATGTTATTATTATGAGTCTTGTTAACTGCATAATGTGTCCAAATCAACTAGTGTGATCACCCGCCAAGTTAGTTTCTATATGGTTCAATAGAGATTTGTAAGCGCTTCAAAATGATGTAAAAATATCGAAGAAAAAATTATTTTAGTTTCTCAACCGGTAACGAATATTGGTCATTTATTCTACTGTATGAAGAAAAGATTTTGCAATTTTTTACTAATTTTTCGATTATCGTATTACTTAAAAAAGTTTTAATTTGACGAATTCCATCGTGATCATCTTGATGAATGGTGCATCGATTTATTAAACATTGTCTTAGTGGCAACACCTTATAAATCGTTGGTTTTTTATCACAACTAAGTTCATTAATTACTTCTTCAAATGGACCTAGAAACGAACAAACATGTTCAAGTAAATCTTTATCTATTAGCATATAATCATCCAGAAATGTTCGATCTAAAACACCAACTAAGTCATCAAACACCGTTAAAAACACATTCATTGTAAGAAAAGCACCATTAAATCTAGTATAAGAATAAGATTGAAGTTTACGTGGTAGTTTTGATTGCTTGTGTGTTCTTCTCACATGAGATACGATTTTTCGTATATAATCGAACATTTCTTGAACTAGATCACAATTTACAGAAATTTTTTCTAGAGTAACAGAAGTAAAGCAATGCTCTAATTGCTTGTTCAGATAATGAATTGAACAACCAATTCTGATGCACGGCTCTTTGAAACAAGATTTCATTTTATTTTCATTGTCTGTCACCACGAATTTGCTGTTTTCCAGTGATAAATCAAACTCCAATAATTTAGCATCAACAAATTGTCGTATTTGACTTGAACTTTGATTATCTCGATCATATGGATAGCAACCCAAAATAAAAGCGTATAGTTGAAGTTCTTCATTTAAGAAATGAAAAGAAATACCACAAAAACTCACACCTGAAAGAGTAAGTAGAATTAATCATAATTTTAATTTACTTTCAGTGTGTTAGTATTTATATGACATGGTTAATATTGTAGTCAAAATCATATTCTTACCAGAGTGTGATTCTGTCCAAAAGTCCACTACGATAGCGTAGGATTTTATATTCTGGCAAAGACTTATTAATTGAGATTTCCTGCTAATGAATAGCCTGTCGATATTTCGACTTACCTAGAAATAAATAAGTATAAATGAGATAGTTTCAGTTTAAAAAGAGAAAGATTGCACTCTTTTTTTATAATTAATAACAGTATTTACTTACAGTTGTTGGATGTGGTAGTAAATCGGAAACATTGATATTTTGTGATTTTGACAGTTCTTGTCCAACATCAAATATAGTTTGCGCTAAATTTATAAAACCATTACCACCAACAAGTTCAAATGCACGATTATCCATAGCAACTAGTTCAACAGTTGCATTTAAAACTTTCTTCTTGCTTCTTGTTGGAACAGATCTGGTTTTAAGAGAAGAAAAATATTCATTAATAGTTAAACTTTCATTATTATTGTTTATTGAATTTTTTTCACATGATCGAAAATGCTTCATCATACTACTTGTGCCATCAATTGATTTGTGATGTAGAATATCTTTACATGTATCACAAGACACAAAATTTTGCTTTTGATTATCAACATAAATACAACTAAAATTTCGCCAAACTAGTGATGCTGCTGTTGTTGGTTCAGCAAATGTCACACTTGCATCATTACTTTTAATTAGCTCCATAATCTTTTCTTTTTTCAATAAGCCATCGGACATTTTCACAACAGTACGTTTTTCTCGTCAATACTAGTATACTAAAATGTAAAAAAATTAAGTGTAAAAAATAAAGAATTATTCACATCTATGTTTATCATAGAAAATTATTCTTTGTTTTTCTATTTATGGTAAGATGAACATTCAAATTAATACGTGGATGGAAAGCTTACTAAAGTAACTGAAGTTACGAAAAGTATAAATCATAGATGACTCTAGGTATCAGTAAAAAAACTGACGGTTCCAACGGCTCCGGTTCCGGTTCCAACCTCTTTTTTTTCACGGTTCCGGTTCCGGTTCCGGGTAACAGAATCTTGAAAAATCGGTTCTTGGTGCGGTTCTCGGTTCCTTTTTTTCGGGAACCGCTGGGCTCTACCTGATACTGACCAGGGGTGAATTTTTCGACGAAAACAAAAGTCAATCGAAACGTTTACATTTTTCATAAGCGTACTCAGTTTTGGATGCTGATTTCGAATATCGTGTTATTTTTTATCCAAATACTACTTTTTTTGTATCAAAATCAATCAATTGCTAGTGAAAAACACTCAAAATCATGACCAAGGATCAGTGTCCTCCGGAACTATTTAGGCTGCCAGTATTTTTTCTTCGATATTTTTACATCATTTTGAAGCGCTTACAAATCTCTATTGAACCATATAGAAACTAACTTGGCGGGTGATCACACTAGTTGATTTGGACACATTATGCAGTTAACAAGACTCATAATAATAACATATAGGGGGAATATGCCTTTATGAAGTCATGTCAAGCAATATGTTTTCAGAATGTTTTTATAGCATTTTGTAGCCATTTGAAAGCACTATCGAACCATATCAAAACTAGCCTAATCAGTTACCATATTCATAGCCATGAACAGCTAATTATCATTAACGGTCGGATATGACATACATATGAGAGTCATTGACCATTCCAACAGTCTGGGTACAGTACAGATAATTGGTGGACGATAGGGGTGTCACATTACCATTACTTTTTATTGCAATTACTTGGTAATTGGTAATAATTTTTATTACTGTTATTACCTATTACTTTTTATCAGAATTTGCTTTGTCTTGGTTGTTTCGGCAACACTAGACTTGTTATTGTTTCTTTTTAGCGATATATACCGTAGGTTGTTGCAACATTATTACTAATTAATATTATTACCTCTAAACTTCTATTAGTTATTATCAGTAATAAGTAATAAAACTTTAGAGGTATTAAAAGTAATTAGTAATAAAACTTTAGAGGTAATAAAAGTAATTAGTAATAAAGTAAGAAGTAATAACGAGTAATAACATTTTACTGTAATAAAGTAATAAGTATACAGTCGATACTGTATGGCATACTTTAATACAACAGACAAAGTATTGTTATACGAACCATACTTTTTACGGTCCCTCCATTTAAGCCATGACCGATCTCGGTCAATCGCGGTGGTCAAATTTCTCCTAAGTTAACATTCATGATAGAGTGAAAATTCTAAGAATTTTGGCACACTTCATTTTCAAAAATATTGATAGGTTTAGATTTGCTGCGAAATTTACTGGGGTCTTAAACTTGAGGACCTCCATGAAGGGAGTCCTAATGCGATAATATCTCATGAAACAGTCAAACAACTGAGTTGAAACACTTAGTATGCATATATCTCGGCAGACTTTGTTTACTATAAGAATTTCGTCGAACAACGTTGAGCCATTAGGAATTTATGAGCTGCTCTTATATATGAAAAACGATTCATTTTTTTGTAATTTTGGTACTTCATAACTTTCGATGTGAATCAGCTTGAGCCCCGAAATTTCTGTGGTAGATAGTACAATGAGAGTTGTATTTTTTCTAAAAATTTGAGCTCTGTAGTTTGTTAGCTTTAGTCAGGAGACCTCGGTCAAAAACGAAATTTTGATAAAAATGTGGGTTTTAGGAATTAACTTCTTCCGAAGACAGATTTTTTGGGGGAGCGTCTCTATATAAATTAGAAGTACTATCACTGGGATATGATTCTATAAAAGTTCACGTGTAATTTCCATGAATGATTTCAGAAGAACTATCGGAAAAACCAAAGAAAAGGGCACTTTTGATAGGAATTGTACCAAAGTATACCAAAAAGTTGTTGAAGGATTCCTTGGTATGCACTAAATTTTATCTAGAAAAAGAATGAGCGTTGAATTTTCTATGACACTATGACAAAATATCCTTTCAAAGTCAAAAAAAAAGCTTTTTCGAAGAGTCCCAATACTTCCTTCCAGGCATCTTTGGATAGCATTTCATTCGTAGTCCCCAAACCTCTAGCGGGATGTATCTGAAAAATTCTTTTGACTTTGAAAAGAAAGATATTTTGGTATGGGGTTATGGAAAATTCAATTCTGAGCTTTTCTAGCTAAAGCTTAGTGCATTCCAAGGAGCCCTTCAAGAATTTTCTCGTAGATATTAGTAGAATGCCTGTGGAAAAGGCTCATTCTGTCCGGCTTTTTCAATAAGTCATCTGTGGTCATTCATGCACATCCCACGTAAATTTTTTTATAGAATTATAGCCTAGATATGGTACTTCTAATTTATATAGAACAACTCTCCAGAAGATTCATTTCTTGTGAGAAAGCTAATTCGAAAAACCCATATTTTTCACAAAGATCCTTTTTTGAAAGGAGTCTCCTGACTGAAATGAATGATTTAGAGAGAGCTTAAGTTTATAGGAGCGATACAACTTTCGCTACTCTATCTACCATAAGAATTTTAAACGTCAATCCAATTCCAATCGAAACTTATGAGGTGCTAAAGTTAAAAAATACGAGCCTTTTTCCTATATTGAGCAACTTATAAAATCCTAACAGCTCAAAGTTGTTCAAAGAAACTCTTACGGTAAACATAACTCACTGAGTTATATGTGCGCTAAAATTTTCAGCTCAGTTCTTTGAGGGGTTCGCGAGATATTGTTGCATTAGGACCTTCTTGGGAAAGTCGTCAATTTTAAGGCTTGCAGTATAATGCTCACTCAATCTGCATCGATCATTATTTTTTTTAAACAGCTTGTGCCAAAATCCTTAGAACTCTTTTCTCTATTAATATCTTAAATTGAGCGAAATATGGTCACCCAGATTAAACATGGCTCCTATAAAGTCGGTCGTGGTTTCGATAGACTGGTTGTTATCAATAATGCAAGAATGCTGGGAACGATGCATGCTGGAGCAGATAGATAACACGCTCCAATAATGCCCTCTGGTAAGAGTGCAAATTTAGCCTAAGATTAGAAGCATCTTTTCAATCTTACATGTATATTACTTATTACTTTATTACTTTTGTGAGGTTATTACTTATTACCGGTAATTAGTAATAATATTTATTACTTTATTACTTATTACCAGTAATTATTACATTACTTATTACTTTTATTACACTGAAAAATTATTACTAATTACTAGTAATAGTAATAACGCTATAAGTTATTGCCAATTACCGGTAATGTTAATGTGACACCCCTAGTGGACGATGAGCTCGCGGAAAGTTCAGCACGGGAACGTTCAGCACCGAAAAGTTGAACACGCAAAAAAACAGATAAACGTGACGTCTCTTGAAGGAGCAATCAATATGCTTGTTAATAAGACTAAAGATTAATTTGAATAAGAAAAGTGTAATAAATTTAACCTTCTTCTAATAAGTAACGGTGTGCTTTGAAAATAAAATAGCACCGCGCGGAACCAAAAAAGTTTCGTACTGGGTACGAAACTCATAAAAGACTTGGAATGCGCTCACTGAACTTAAAATGGTTTCGCAGATACTACGAAACTTAAAAAGGGTTTCTAACTTTGAAATGAATTCTGAACCTTTTTTAGGTTTCGTAAGTTTTCCACAACATCTTCAAAACAGTTTCCTGGACTCTTGATAATCATTTTGCGACTATCTTGAGATTTTACGAAACCTTTGCGAAGGTTTCGAATTTGTTTCAAAAATGGTTCTGTATGGTGCTATTTTGTTTTTAGCGTGGGTGTCCTTCAAGTTGGAATGTACACCTACACAGACCCACATCCTTCACATATTCTTACTCAAAGTGAGCGAGTCGCGCACAATATTACATTGTAACATTTTTTGTTAATACTTATGTTTCGTTAAATGTAATAGTTATTTAGTAATCTAGCAATAAACTTCATATTTATCTTTCTTTTTGCGCGCTCAAATTTTCGGTGCTGAAAATTCCCGTGCTGAACTTTCCGCGTGCTCATCGTTCCCGTCCTTATCGTTCCCGTGCTCAAGTATCTGTACTAAAGTTTCTGTGCTCATCGTTTCGGTTCCCCGACTGATTTGCCGATTATGAGTCGATTTTAATCGGTTGTCTTTCTTGTAATTGATTATTTCGGATTTACTACTTGCCGATCAATTTTAATTCATTATTTGATCACATATCCGCTACCTCTGATTTGTCCCTTGTTAATAAATTTTCACCTATCATCTTGACTGGAATCCATCACGTCTGATGCGTCGACAATGAGTCAATTTTAATCGATTACGTCTGATTATCTGCTTAGAAATCGACTTTAATCTTGCCAACTGTTTGCAACCGTTTGTCTCCGGAATCGAACCTGAAACCCTTATGTTTTCATGCGTTTTCCAGATTCCTCGGATTTTGAAACGGGTATTCACGTTGTGCGAATCACCCGTCAGTACACTGTGGTTGAAACTCTTACATCAATTGAATAAAAATTGAGATGGAGCAATGACAATTAAAATCTATCAGTTTTCTCTTAATCGATTAAAATTGATTACCGGTTTTCGAAATCAATTAAAATCGTGAATTTAATCAGAAACCCCAATTGTCAGATTAAAATCGAAAATGTTTATTCGTGATTCGTGCCTCAATCGATTGAAATCTTTGATTTAATCAGAAGCCAAATTAATCGGATTAAAGTTGGCGATTTTTATCTGATTTTCAGCCAAATAGTTTTAGCTGGGTTCCATCAGGATTTCGTAGTTTCCGCGGCAAGAAATGGCGATCCCTGATAAGACCCGCAAAGAAACTGTCGATGACTTGAACCAGAAAGCCGCAAGATTTTCACCAGGGTCTAGTTATTATTATGGTTTCCTTATTCCAGGTACTTTTCTCGGTTACAGTTCGCTGAGAATTGCAAATAAAACACCCGACGATGTGTTGATAATTACGATTGAAATAAATCCTCAATCAGCCGAAATCGCGCACAATATTCACCAGCATGCTGCTGTGGGAAACCGTATTCATATTATTGTTGATTCTACTGACAAAGCCATTCCTCGTCTGCATGATCAATTTAATGTTGATGCATTCGATTTCATTTTCATCGACCATTACAAAGAACTGTATTTATCTGATTTTAAATTGCTTGAACAAGAAGGTCTTATTAAAACAGGCACAACCATTGTAGCAGACAATGTAATCTGCCCAGGTGCTCCTGACTACTTGGCATATGTGAGAAATAATCCACAATATTCATCCGTTTTACACGAGACTACACTCGAATATCGAAATGATGTTCCCGATGGAGTGGAAATTTCAATAAGATTATAATTGAACATATATATCGATCGATGATGAAAAATACTCGAATCCGAAATTTACTCCGTACTAGTTTGTTTATTTTTAATCAGTTGATTGTTTTTGAATGGTCATCCATACCCCAATAATAAAACATGATTGTATGCTCGTATGTCTGTTCCACGTCAGAGGTTAAAGGCCATTGGCTAATATTTCTAGAGTTTTCTAGAACCTCTAAAGCCGCTATGAACCTATGGAAAAAATCTAGAATGTTCTAGAAGTTTTCGGGAATTTTTCCATTTTTCAAGTATTTTCTGGAACTTTCGGCGAGATAACATGCGAAGGGGTCAACAATCAAAGCTTAAAGATGAGAGGTAAAGAGTCAAACCCTGATACCACTAGAATTTTCTAGAATGTTTTCAAGCGTTCTTTAAAAAGGTAACTAAAGTGATGTTACGACACGATCTTCTCATATTGTTCTTTCGCATTATTGTCTTTCGTCATTATTTAGCTAAATCTTCATTCGTACCAGAGATTTGGGGTCTAAAATGTGAGCCGCGGGACTCCGCAAAAATGAGTGGATGAGAAGAGCGGCGGGTATGGGATGGGGTTTGCGAGGGAAAAGTCAAAACTTGGTTGAGACGACTCGACTGAGTGAAGAATGAGTGGCACGGGACGGGCGGATCAGAAAATGTTGACGGGGGATCGTTGCAGATAGCTCATAGAGTAATGTGCTGGCAATTTATTGAAAACGTAGCGCGTACCAATAGATTGAATGTTAAACTTTTATTGTATGAGCTCGCTGTTTTTATGCTTCTTTCTTGATGGCGGATAGAAGAATAAATGGTGTGCTCACGCTATGTGTCTTGATTTAGGTCCGTTTCTTTCGTCTGGGGTTGCCATTGATTCAAGTATACGTTGCTATTTGATGAGATTACCGTGATATTGAAAGGTTTATTATGTGTTTCTGTGTCTTAGGTGTCAGGAAATATAATATATCGCTAGCAGATATAGAAGTGAGCAATTTTTTTATTACTTAGCTCTAGCTCTCTCATGGAGGATCAGCTCAGGTTCAGATCTCAGGAAATACGCTCTTTATATATTTCAAGCACATGAGAGCCTAAAACTTGTTTATTCTTCTTCTTTCGAATGTGAAATGATCGCATAAACCAGTTGTGAAATTTTCCATAATGTGAAATATCATTCTGAAGACATCTCATCAAAAATATTGGTATATAGAGTGGATTAACATTCAAGTTGAAAGTTGCCGGTGCTCACCAGAGATGCGATCGGCTAAGGTTTTTTTTTAACCGAACCGAATCGAATCGAACCGATTTTGATTTTTAAAACTTTTAACCGAGCCGAGCCGAACCGAATTGGAATCTAACCGAGTCGAACCGATCCCAACCGAAAAATTTGTACAGTTTTCAAATTTCTTTAAGAAGTTTATGATGCTATTAGAAAGCTTTTTTTAAAAACTGATAATTGCTGTACAATATAGATAAATTTATTTATCCAGCTTTAGTAAGAGAAAATATTACAATTATAAAATAATGAAAACAATGCTAGGAGCTTTTTATTTTTTATTTTGTGGAACTCGCATATTTTCGAAGAAAATAGAGTGTAAGTTTAAAAGCGAGATTTTTTGCGGCTCCCCCCACCCCTCCGTTTCAGAGATAAAACGTTAAAAGAATCGTATGTACGTTCACTAATTAGAAAAAAATTTAGTACTGTTCCATCGCTTGCGTTCACCACTACTTATGTCACTAATTAAAATGTATTTTCGTTAATTAGATCTCATTATAATTAGCGTTTAATTGAAGATTTCCTTTTGAAAACCTATATTTTTACTATTAAAGACCATAGCCACGACAGGATCGTATCTTTTTACTATTAGAGATGATAGCAACGAGGGTGCGCTACCATTACAGAAACTAGCAACCAGTACATGCTACTATAATGCATATTAGATACATTAAACATTGTTTTAAAAGATGATTTACTATGTTTGCATATAGAAATAAATATATAATTCATTAATTATAACACAGATATTAATTGGAATACAGTATTAACAAAAATAAGAATTCATTTAGTAAAAAAAAAATTTAATTTTGCGATAGCAAAAGCGACGGAATCAAAAAAAACCTACAGAAGTCATGTATTTGATTTATTAATATTAAAATAATGTTTAAATATGAAATTCATTCTATATTTATTTTACTTCAAGATTAAAAATAGAAATACGAAATATTTTTTATCAATATTATTAAATAGCAACAGCCTTAAAAAAGAACTTTTATCGAACCGTAATTTATGTTTACGTTTTTTTCTAATTAGAAAATTTCAGAAGTACTTATAAGTTATTTAAATGAAAGAAATTGTACGTTTTCATCTATTCAACTAGCTTTACTTTTTTCGGTCTTTTTCCTGAACAAATTATGAACCTTATTCTATTAAAAAATTAAAAAAACACTATTTGGTCAGTATCTAAGTGATTCGGAATATTCGAGTTCCACATTTTAGCCCCAGCGGGGCTGCGCTGACAAGCTTTTTCGTATTGTTTTCTTTAATCATTGTTCTCTTTTAAACAGCGCAAAAAGAAAAAATGTAATGAAACGGTTTAAAAAGCTTCTAACCGAACCGAACCGAACCGAAAAACAATTTAACCGAATCGAACCGAGCCGATTTAGTTTTCAAAAATCTTTAACCGAACCGACTTCGGCTGGGTCGGTTCGATTCGGTTCGGGTAGAAATCGACTTTACTCGCATCTCTGGTCTGTGGAATGTGGATCGGTCCAGGTTGATCGGAGAAAATGTCCTTCTGAGATACTTTGAACTTCGATCGTTCTGTTTTCTGAAATATTCAACATTTTTAGAAGTATGAAAATCTTTTACAAATTGAGAAAAACGCGGAAACCGATTTTGGTTTTCCAGAATCCTTTTTTGGGCATTCAGTACACTGTAAAAAAAGCGCAGAATAATCAACACTTGCCCTTGATTTTCCTTTTCATAAACTCTTGAGGGGTTTATGAGGATGGAATATATCCTTGAAGGGTTCATGATCCAAAGGGTTTTTGAGCGTAAGAGTATTTGAAGAGGCACAGGGTATATGGAGCTCTTTTAAGGGTTTTGTATTTCATATTTTAAGGAAAGCAGTTCATTATTAAACGATTAGGGGTAGATTAATAAACGCANGGAGAGTATCATAAACCCTTAAAGGGTTTATGAAATTTGCACGAGGATGCAATTTCCCATTTTTAGCGAGAAATTAAAGGTTTTTCGCATAAGCATGCATTTTTCAGTACCCATTTTTTCACTACTGATTCAAATTGATAAAATGTTCCTTATATCTAATACTAATATTTTTTGCCCATCCCACTCAATATATCATCTGTAGAGGAACACTCATCAAGTTTATTCTAAGATTTGGCTACTATACAACACTAAAAGGAATGGTAGATCAGTAAACATTCAAAGGGTTTATGAACGTGCAATGTATAATAAACCCTGTTTCGCTTACATAAAATTTCCGTAAACTATGGGTGTGCGTGTGGGTGTCGGTTTAGATGTGCCTATGCCAGTAGCGGCGCATGTGGATTGGGATGTCTTCTCCTAAACCCACACCCACACCCACACACGCACACCCCTTGCTGCCCTCAAAAACCGCTGTCATTATTTTTCATTCGAAACGTACATAGCGTTAGGCACAAATTTTTGCGCGGCGATTCAGTACCTTACGCATTCAGATCGCGGAGTTCTCGATAGTTTTCCTGTTAATTGAGTAAATCTTGATAAAAATGGGATACTTATAATCAGCGCATCGTGTTCCATCGAAATAACTACAAGAAATGAAAATTTGAGACAAAAAGGTTTTTTTGGTCAATCCTTGAGGGGGACCCCAGGCACCAAAATTCGAAAACTGAAATTTCTAAGTTTTCACCTTCTGAAAAGACTCAATGGGATATCCCAATTAATGTACGAACGAAATCTGAAACAAAGCTGGTGGAACGAGCCTTACCGAAGCTGACATTTGCCCTTTAAAATCACTACCCCCTAAATTTATTTTCGAAATTTCGACCTAAACCACCCCATTGGAACCGTCGAAAATACTTCAACTTGTGCAGAATTAATTGCTCTACAAGATTCCGTAGTCAATTTTCTTGTTAACTTTAAAGCGGGCATTGGAAAAGAAAAACATTATAACAATCTGTAAAAACCATTTCAAATAATTTTTCAAAAAATTATTTTTTTTCAAAACAAAATTGGACGCTTGAAAAAAATTAATAATATCGCTCGATGCAGTTTTTCACGCTCTTTCAAATGATTCGCTGCTCAAAACTTTCGAATGTGAATTGGCTTCAAAACGTGAAAATTACTGAAGATTTCATTTTTTTCGTCATTTAGAAGGGTGCTTGTATTAAAATTCCTATAACTCCGTCAATATAAGGTTTCAGAGTCTAAAAAAATTTTCATTCGCACAGTTTTTAATGCTGAATCGAATGAAATTTAAAAAAATGGGGTGTTAGGAAAATTCATGTTATGAGGATTCTCGACATTCTCATGGACTCTCTCTTAAAGGTTTTTCGCATAAACATGCATTTTTCAGTGCCCATTTTTTCAATACTGATTCGCATTGATAAGATGTTTCTTATATATAATACTAATATTTTTTGCCCGTCCCACTCAACATATCATCTGTAGAGGAACACTCATCAAGCTTATTCTAAGATTTGGCTATTATACAACACTACAAGGAATGGTAGATCAGTAAACATTTAAAGGGTTTATGAAAGTGCAACGTATAATAAACCCTGTTTTGCTTACATAAAATTTCCCTAAACTATGGATGTGTTTGTGGATATGGGCGTGGGTGTGCGTGTGGGTGTCGGTTTAGATGTGCCTCTGCTAGTGGCGGCGCATGTGGATTGCGATGTCTTCTCCTAAACCCACACCCACACCCACACCCTCAGGGAATCCAACGATATCAGGGAATCCTAAGAACTCAGGGATATCAGAGAATCAGAGCAACT